AAACTCAAAATAACAGTCCACAAAATAACCCTACAAGTCGTCATCCATGTCATCGAACTCTGAAATCCCGTAAGAGCTCCACAGCTAGCTGTGCTCTCTATGTAGTTCCAGGCTCACTTACAATGCAAGAACTACATAAGTCAATACTTAATAAGCAAAAATCATGCATGTCACGAATATGAATAATAACGATATATGTCACTATGTCATTTACTTTAAACATTACGATAAGGAAGCATCATATTCCAATATTCATCAAAATCGACTCGAAATTATTTCATTTGAAACATTTCATTTCATTGGGCTCTTCACCCACCTACTATGCACAAGATAGAATTCTGCATAATATCAATATAAATAATCAAATGGCCAATATGAAATCGATACCGAGGAGTAGACCATCCTCTTGTGACCACTAGAGGCCCACCCCTAACTACCCCTATGATCACCCAAGAAGTCTCCCACCCAGCAGCGTTAATAATCATAATATCACAAGGGCACAGTCGAGTGGTTCACCCTTCCATGATCACCAAAAGTCCATCCCCTGTCTACCTTTGCAATCACCCAGGAAGTATCACCCGCGATATCAAACATATTACATAAGCATACCTCACATGCATCGGTGCCTTAGTAGTGGTCAATAAAAACATTTAATAAAAAAAAATCACTTTGAAATCATATTTTACATGCAGAATTTTCAACCATGATCACATGTTGTGCTTGCGGATGAAAATACTCATGAATGATATATTTAATGAAAATCGATGTCAGTAGGTTCCACAACCTCATTCTCAATAATCATAACCATCATATGATGTGCAATAAACCTCTTATCGAAATTATGTAACTATTCCAACATTACCATATCACAAATACTGAGGATTTTTTATTACCTTTCGTTTTTATGTGTGCAAGCTCCTACAGAGTGTATATTAATTTCCTTTTTCGCTCAACGTCAAAAAATCACCTGTATTACCATCTAATATTAAAGACAATCCTCCATTTAATAACCTTAACACACACAATCTCAAAATACGTCCATTCACACCAAAACAATTTAGCTGAAATCATTATTTCAAGTTACCGATAGCATTACAAACTAATCCCATAAGTCTCGCTATTTCTCGAATCCAATTATGAACGTCAACATCATCCAAATTTATTATCCACAACCTAGTACTAATTAGAATCTATTTTCTAGGACCAAGAGATAATTAATAGATATGTAAAGATTGGAATCACATTAAAAACATAAATGGGCAGAATCCGTTTTCTAATTTCTATTACCGTCTAATTATTTTTCTAATCATTTTTCACCTCCTTAACTATATTCAACGACTCTCAAACTGTTATCAAACTTCTATAACATGTATGTGAAGGTAATCATGATATAAAGTTGTGACAAATGAAGCATTTTCAACTTCAAAAACAGTCCATTTTTCACTAAACAAAATCAGGCAGTTTTATTTTCCTTGTGACAGTTTTCGATTTTCATTGTATTAGTATGATACCAATAGAATTCTAGGCCATTAAAAATCATTTCTACACTTCATAATTACATATAAAAACGTTCATATTGATAGATATAAGTTACACACTAAGTACCATCCCAAAATCAAGGTATAAACCACTCAAATCCAGCAACCTACATCTCCACCCAGGTTGTTTTCCCTCAAGTTCTTGTAATTAATCTCCCCTATTTTGCCATCATAAAATTATCCACTACCTCCCACATAATTTCAAGAAAAGTTCATAGTTTGAATAGTTTATAAAACACCTAAAAGAACTAAGGAAAAACTTCAAAACCGTGAGTTGAACTAACCTGCTCAAACTGCAATTCCAATTTCTTGTTTTTCTATTTCTCCTTGCTTCCTTTGCTCTCTCTTTGTCTTGGGGTCACTGGAGGATAAATGTCTTCTTTAAGAGATTTATAAGTAGTCTTAAGGACTAGGGTCATGAGTATTGCTTAAGGGTGAAGAAAAATGTGAACAAAGGACAAGTATCCTTAAGCATGAGCTGTCCAAACATGATGTGTCTTCTTTGTAGCAATACTTGACGTTCAACCATTATTTTTGGATCCATTTGTGACATTTAAGATATATATTCATCCTATATTAAGTTCTTAGGGAGTAGAGACGAGATTGATGTCTTAAGAATGAAGAAATTGAGTGTTAAAATGACAAACATCCCAAGCATGAGGTGGTCACTTGTAGTATTAATCTGATTTTATATTTATCTTTGTAGGTACAAATCAAGAATCATTGGCTTATTTTAATATGTTTAAAATCCATTTCACTTGCCCTAAGATCCCAAAATACATTATAGAGATAATTCCTCAACTGTTCATTTAATTTCTTACCTAATTGACACCAGATTTTCAACCGATTTCAACAATTCGCACCTTAATATTTGTAACGTCATATGAGATATATATTATTGCGTTGTGATCACGTCACTTCATACCTCATGTCCCAAATATGTCAATTACCTATCTAGGGTTTAAGGTGACCTCGATCAACTGAATGAAAAGCTTGAACCTTTATCGATACTAATTTCCGACCTTCTTGATTTTCCATTACTTACCAAACCAATTTCTAACATTTAGTTAACCTAATTTTCTATTATAGTTCAATGTAAAATTCACCACTTAAGTCGAGGAGTTGGAGATTATCACCATGTAAAGATTTTAAAGCTTTGATGATTAAATGCACTATTTTAAGAGAAAACAATTAGGAAATTAATGCAAATGATAATGTAATTAGTATGAAATGCATGAATCATATTGTCCATATATATAATGTGAAGCTCGAGGTATTACATCAATGATAATCAATAAAATTATATTCAATTTACATACCCAACCTCAGTTCATAATGGAATTGGATCTGATCGTTTTGAGTGTACGGAATGACTAAATTATGCACAAAACCTCGACCGTCTTTCTCCACTGATAGCGTCAACTTAGTTATGATTTCAAACTGATATATTGACAGTTCAACTAGTTAACGATCATGAAATAAGATCTTGAAACTACGTACAATATGAATCGCATATATATAATACTCGCCTGAGGATCGTTGAGAATAACTAATAATTGTTTACCAGATATACATTCATATGATTAGGATGCTCATCAATGATGTATCCAAGGGCAACGTGTCTCCCTTCACCTTGCAAACCAAGTACCCAAGAGGCAGACAATATCATATGCACAAATCTGCAACACATACAATCATTATATAAATTTAATATAAAAATTATTTTAATATTGGGCAATCCATAAGTATCGTACTTATGCATGGATCAATTGGGCTTCGAGTGTGATCTGGTGAAAACGTGTACAGTGTTCTCAAAACGTCTCCGACCCTACGGATAGTTGTTGAGGCATCAAAATCGTCAACAATTTTCAAATGGAAAAGGTCAATCACAGTCTTCTTGTGATGACATCGTACCACGCTCTCAATAATATAGACCAGTCCTAACTTCAAACTGTCTAACATCTAGCTGCACTCCCGATTGTGCCAATCAACTGCGGTAGAAGCGTCGTTCGCTGTCCCTAAAAATGTGCATCATATGTCTATTGCTTCTATGAATACCGTCATGAGCTGCACCACCTGTAACCTTCAGTTCAATCATCAGGGTCGAAATGGAAGGCAACTCCGTCGACTGGCCTAAGCAGCCGACATAGTAGTGCATCAATGATCTACTCGAAATACTGCACCTCTCTCAACTGATACGGAGACTAGAGAAAGGATTGACATAGAATATTCGCGTGTAGATCATCCAACAACTCCAATACAGCAGTGAAACTATCAAAGTTATTGTTCCAAATTGCTTTCCCCACCATTCGTCTCAATTCCACATTTAGATGGTATTTCATCCTGTAAAAATTCAATTATTAGAACATTAAACAAAAGATAATAAAATAAAGTATGATCTCAAAAAATTAAGTGAATCGAATTGTAACTATTATACACAAGATATAGATTCATACCGATACTAATAAATAAATAAATAATTTAATAAATTAAAGAAGAAGAAGAACAAAAAAGAATTACAGAAAAAATAAAAAAAGTTATTATATAGTTTTTTAATTAAAATTAAAAATAAATATCATTTAATTAAAATTTGAAAAAAAATTACGTTTTATAATAAAAAGAAAAGAATTAAAAAGAATTTCAAATGGAACAAAAAATTATTTATAATATGAATTGAACAAAAAAAAAAGAAATTTAAAAATTGTTTCAGAAAAAATTTATAATAAAAGCAAAACAAATTAAACAAAAGAAAATTATGAAAATTAAAAAAAGAATAAAAATATTATTTAATTAAAATTGAAAAGACTAAATTTTATCATCAAAAGAAAAGAATTTAAATCGAAAAAAATTATTTATAATATGAATAAAATAATTAAGAAATTTTAAAACTATTTTCAAATAATTATAATAAAAATTAAACAAATTAAACAAAAGAAAAAACAAATGTGAAATAGAAGAAAAAATGAAAAAAAAAATAAAAAATGAGCTGACTGTAAAACATTCGATTTTGGTCGTTTGTGCTTTGCTGGAAATGGTGATTTCACATAAATCTCTTGCCATTTCCGGCAACATAAACCTTTTTATTTTCTTTTTATCACAATTCATTCTAAACTCAATAATTTACCTAAGTAATGAAGAATAAACATCATTGATATCAATTTAGGCCCTGTTTGGGCCACGTTATTTGAAAAAAAATATATATATTTTTCAATAGTGATTTAATATTATTTTAATCAAACATTTTTTAATAAAATAATATTACGCACAATTTCAAAATTTTTCTTTATCTTTAAACCACAAATTTATTATAAATACACTTCTCAAAAATACATTTTCATTCCAATAATGTAGCTCAAACAAGGGCTTAATACACAAATTCACAAAACATGCAAAATAAAAAATTAATTTCTTAATCCCATAAAAATACTAACATTGTTGAAGATAATGACCGAATTTTGCGGTTGTAGGTGTTTGATGGACCGTGACCCGAAGGACTGGAAATATGACGTGGGAATATGGGCGGGTAAAATGACCAATTTCATGTATTTCCTCGAATAAAAGTCAGAAATAAAGGTTCAATTTCCATTTCTTTGATTCATTTTCATTAATTTGATTCATAATGGAGGCGAAGGTTTCTCAGTTCTTCGAGTCCGTCACCAATTTCTTCAGCGGTGGCGACCACATCCCTTGGTCCACTCCTGACGTGATTCTCGTAAGGATCTCTGTTTTTTCGTTGTACCAAATTTGATGCGATAAGAATAGTGTCCAAGAAATAGAATTTTTGTTTTTTTTTTTTTCGTTTTGCCTTGATATGGGTTCAATACCTGGTCTAAAAATCGAAAATTCTCGAGTAAGTTGATATTTAATTTAAAGGCTTTTGGAGTTTAATATTTTCAGCTTTGATGGTCTAAAGTATTAAAGGTAGATTTGGTTGAATGATATTGATAATTGGTTAATTCAGATATTACAGTTCCATTAATTTTTAAATGGTTTTGAAGTTTGAGTTCTGTAGAATTTGAGGTGTCTTCAAGCACTGCATAAGTTTGTTAACGCCATGCAAATCTTTGATGGTGAAAAGGTTCCAATTTCAGGCTCTAGACCTGAGGTGATCCTTTTTATTTAGTGTGGCAGAGATTGAGATGGTATTTAAAGGTGTTGGCAGTGCTTTTTGGAAGGTATTTTGAGGGTTTGTATGAATCTTGTCAAGTTCTTGGATGATTTTTGAGGATTGGGTGTAGCTAAACTCCCAAGGGCTTGTGGAGTGGATGATTTGAGCTGACAACAACAGACTGAGTCATATTTATTGGGGCAAAAATTGAGATTTTCAGGCAAGAATGAAAGTGGACTTGTGATGATTGCCATTGTCATCCACATGCATACAAGTGTGAAAGGAACAAATCATAATTTCTACAGTCGATGCATTCAATGAATAAAAGTCATAATTTATGTGGCCATTGGTTACAAATTTTTTGTGGGAATCGCCCCCCTTTTTTCACCTTCTTTTGAAATCTTGGTGTTAGTTTTGAGGTATTATTTCATGATGAATGCCAACCTAGACTTCTTAAATGCTGACATGGTGTTTTTCATTCTTGAATGTATACTTGGAAGTTCTTTGATCTTGCACGTTGCACCAACAAGAGTGTCCTTCGGACATGACATCCAGAGCTGCAGGCCAGTAGTAGTTTATCAGATAGTATTCATATAGGTTTATGAGCTAAGGTAACTGTGAATAGAATATGTTAAGCACTAATTCTGTCTTCACAGCTGATAACTTAATTAGTTAATTATATTTATAAGATAATACTTCTGTACTTGCGAGATTTGGAGGTCAATGCTCATTCTTTTGCTGAATGAAATTTCTTGATATCTTAAAAAAATACTCTCAATTGCCAGAGCTACTTAGTTGGAATGTATTCTAAAGATTAATTTAGATGATATGATGTTCTCTGGATATTAGATTAAATCTAATTTACCGATGTAAGGACCCAAATCAACGGGGTAACACCCATATCTTAACAACATAATCTGTAAAACAAACCTGGGATCACTACTAAAGGTCCAGAACGTCCAGGTGAAGGTTTCTTCTCCTCAAAGTAGTCCAAGGCTATTGCATTCTAACAATGATTCAAGAGTGTTGTATATTTGAAAACTCTCGAAATCCGATAAAGGTTTGGCATATTATTCAGGTTATTCTTGATCTGCCAATTGAACCTTTCATAATGTGACGTGTGTTAGATTCTCCCTCTCTTTAACGTATATTGTTGGCAGGGCTGTGAGAGAGAAGTTGCAGAAGCTTCAAAAGATAATTCTGATGAAAGGAAGAGTGAAAGCATTATGCGCATGTCCTCTAATTTATACAGATTATGTAATCATTGTCTACCTAGTATTTTTTGGAATAAGCTAATTTTTAATTTTTGTTGCTATGATTATTGATGAACTTTGTCAATTCTCTAAATTCAGCAAATTGCTCATTTTTAGTTTTAGGTTTTGATTGTATGATTTCTTATTATTGAATTTTTTTTTTTTAATCAAATTCATGCTTTAAAACATCTTTTAACTTTTCAATGTTTATAGAAATTTGTATTAGGATATTTTCAAATTCAAAAACCAAGGATGAAGCCAGTCCTTGAAAGATTTTTCATAGCTTCAAAAATCACATCATCCATCTTCTTGCTGGCAGATGATAATTTTTCTCAGACACCACCATTGATTAATCCATGTATTGAAGAACCACTTCTTGAATCTATAAGATCACCAGTTTTTCTTTTATAATTCTTGAAAGTGTTCTTCTTGAGATGTAATTTTCTTTTGTTGCCTTATCTTGAAGGATTTATTTTGTAAATAGTTAATATTTGGCTTCTAGCATCCAGTTTAAGAGTATATCAAAGAATTAACCAGAAAACATTCCGTTTGCCGACAGCTTCTCTAGCCAACGATAATAGTCCATTGCAAAAGAGAGAGAAGCTCTACCTGCTTGCTGTTGGATATTACAGAAGCAGTGAATATTCAAGGTGCCGGGAGCTCCTTGACCAATGTTTGGAGGTTTGTATCCACTTTTCATTTTTTTATGCTGCCGTTGCTCTTTGTAAATTCTTCTTTTCATTACTTTTATCACCAGTAAACTACTTGTATATAGAGATTGTACACTACATTGTATTTGTTCTTTTCGAAATTTTGTGCTTAAATAATTGTCGTTGGGTCTGTTTTGTAGATTGGGCAAATTGAGGACATCTTTGGCACTTTCTTTTGAGATATTTTGTACTAGAAATGATCTCCGGCCCACTGCGGGCATGAGTTATAATGCCCATCTGCTGATATAGTGGTGTCATGTCAAAAATTCAAAACCTTTTTTTCTTTTGAAAAGTCGTAAAAATACGGTTTGATTGCTGATGTGGCGACACCACGTTAGCAGTGACAATTGTTATCCTGTTCACTGTAGCAGGAGATCAGCTCTGTACCCTTTAATATGATTTTTTTGCCAATTTTTTCTCAAATAATTCCCAGTTTCTTGTATGTATAGATTGCACCTGATTGGAGACAAGCCATGACCCTGAAGAAGACAGTTGAAGATCGAATAACTAAAGGTAATAACAACCCGAATTGTTGTTCAAAGCTTCTGTATTTTTCGGTTTTTAGCTCAAACATCAAACAACACAAAGTCCTACAGAAGATAGAAATACATTTCTCTTCTTCCGCTTCGAGGACTACCACAGGCCACACCTCCTAGGGGCTCACCACTCCTCTGCCACCTCTCTCATTTCCATCGGGGGGTCACTCCTACTCTACAAATAACAAAAATGATTTTAATGCAACATTATCTATCCACAACTGTGGATGATGCCCATCTCCATTACCCTCCCTATCACCCTCTCCGTCACCTCGTCTCCCATCCCATCGCTTGCCTGCTTTGCTCAGGAGATCCACGGGGGAGGTGTCTAGATGGGAGAGAATGATATCCTCTCATTGGAGGTAATCATCACTCAAAATTTATTAACTTAATTAAAAGAGGCTAACTCATACAAAATTGTCACACCCACATTCATATAGATAACTATCTATTAACTTGTGTGGAAATGAAATTGATGACTCGACTTAGACATAGAATTTCACAAATTTTTTTTTTACTTGATAAAACGACATAACTATGTCTCTAAATCAAAATCATATTGCCATAATCAAACATATATATATTCTGAGGTTATAAACATGTCTACATGCCATGTCAAAAAATATACAACACAGGATTCCCAACATACAACACAATAGGCCATAAACTCAAAATAACAGTCCACAAAATAACCCTACAAGTCGTCATCCATGTCATCGAACTCTGAAATCCCGTAAGAGCTCCACAGCTAGCTGTGCTCTCTATGTAGTTCCAGGCTCACTTACAATGCAAGAACTACATAAGTCAATACTTAATAAGCAAAAATCATGCATGTCACGAATATGAATAATAACGATATATGTCACTATGTCATTTACTTTAAACATTACGATAAGGAAGCATCATATTCCAATATTCATCAAAATCGACTCGAAATTATTTCATTTGAAACATTTCATTTCATTGGGCTCTTCACCCACCTACTATGCACAAGATAGAATTCTGTATAATATCAATATAAATAATCAAATGGCCAATATGAAATCGATACCGAGGAGTAGACCATCCTCTTGTGACCACTAGAGGCCCACCCCTAACTACCCCTATGATCACCCAAGAAGTCTCCCACCCAGCAGCGTTAATAATCATAATATCACAAGGGCACAGTCGAGTGGTTCACCCTTCCATGATCACCAAAAGTCCATCCCCTGTCTACCTTTGCAATCACCCAGGAAGTATCACCCGCGATATCAAACATATTACATAAGCATACCTCACATGCATCGGTGCCTTAGTAGTGGTCAATAAAAACATTTAATAAAAAAAAATCACTTTGAAATCATATTTTACATGCAGAATTTTCAACCATGATCACATGTTGTGCTTGCGGATGAAAATACTCATGAATGATATATTTAATGAAAATCGATATCAGTAGGTTCCACAACCTCATTCTCAATAATCATAACCATCATATGATGTGCAATAAACCTCTTATCGAAATTATGTAACTATTCCAACATTACCATATCACAAATACTGAGGATTTTTTATTACCTTTCGTTTTTATGTGTGCAAGCTCCTACAGAGTGTATATTAATTTCCTTTTTCGCTCAACGTCAAAAAATCACCTGTATTACCATCTAATATTAAAGACAATCCTCCATTTAATAACCTTAACACACACAATCTCAAAATACGTCCATTCACACCAAAACAATTTAGCTGAAATCATTATTTCAAGTTACCGATAGCATTACAAACTAATCCCATAAGTCTCGCTATTTCTCGAATCCAATTATGAACGTCAACATCATCCAAATTTATTATCCACAACCTAGTACTAATTAGAATCTATTTTCTAGGACCAAGAGATAATTAATAGATATGTAAAGATTGGAATCACATTAAAAACATAAATGGGCAGAATCCGTTTTCTAATTTCTATTACCGTCTAATTATTTTTCTAATCATTTTTCACCTCCTTAACTATATTCAACGACTCTCAAACTGTTATCAAACTTCTATAACATGTATGTGAAGGTAATCATGATATAAAGTTGTGACAAATGAAGCATTTTCAACTTCAAAAACAGTCCATTTTTCACTAAACAAAATCAGGCAGTTTTATTTTCCTTGTGACAGTTTTCGATTTTCATTGTATTAGTATGATACCAATAGAATTCTAGGCCATTAAAAATCATTTCTACACTTCATAATTACATATAAAAACGTTCATATTGATAGATATAAGTTACACACTAAGTACCATCCCAAAATCAAGGTATAAACCACTCAAATCCAGCAACCTACATCTCTACCCAGGTTGTTTTCCCTCAAGTTCTTGTAATTAATCTCCCCTATTTTGCCATCATAAAATTATCCACTACCTCCCACATAATTTCAAGAAAAGTTCATAGTTTGAATAGTTTATAAAACACCTAAAAGAACTAAGGAAAAACTTCAAAACCGTGAGTTGAACTAACCTGCTCAAACTGCAATTCCAATTTCTTGTTTTTCTATTTCTCCTTGCTTCCTTTGCTCTCTCTTTGTCTTGGGGTCACTGGAGGATAAATGTCTTCTTTAAGAGATTTATAAGTAGTCTTAAGGACTAGGGTCATGAGTATTGCTTAAGGGTGAAGAAAAATGTGAACAAAGGACAAGTATCCTTAAGCATGAGCTGTCCAAACATGATGTGTCTTCTTTGTAGCAATACTTGACGTTCAACCATTATTTTTGGATCCATTTGTGACATTTAAGATATATATTCATCCTATATTAAGTTCTTAGGGAGTAGAGACGAGATTGATGTCTTAAGAATGAAGAAATTGAGTGTTAAAATGACAAACATCCCAAGCATGAGGTGGTCACTTGTAGTATTAATCTGATTTTATATTTATCTTTGTAGGTACAAATCAAGAATCATTGGCTTATTTTAATATGTTTAAAATCCATTTCACTTGCCCTAAGATCCCAAAATACATTATAGAGATAATTCCTCAACTGTTCATTTAATTTCTTACCTAATTGACACCAGATTTTCAACCGATTTCAACAATTCGCACCTTAATATTTGTAACGTCATATGAGATATATATTATTGCGTTGTGATCACGTCACTTCATACCTCATGTCCCAAATATGTCAATTACCTATCTAGGGTTTAAGGTGACCTCGATCAACTGAATGAAAAGCTTGAACCTTTATCGATACTAATTTCCGACCTTCTTGATTTTCCATTACTTACCAAACCAATTTCTAACATTTAGTTAACCTAATTTTCTATTATAGTTCAATGTAAAATTCACCACTTAAGTCGAGGAGTTGGAGATTATCACCATGTAAAGATTTTAAAGCTTTGATGATTAAATGCACTATTTTAAGAGAAAACAATTAGGAAATTAATGCAAATGATAATGTAATTAGTATGAAATGCATGAATCATATTGTCCATATATATAATGTGAAGCTCGAGGTATTACATCAATGATAATCAATAAAATTATATTCAATTTACATACCCAACCTCAGTTCATAATGGAATTGGATCTGATCGTTTTGAGTGTACGGAATGACTAAATTATGCACAAAACCTCGACCGTCTTTCTCCACTGATAGCGTCAACTTAGTTATGATTTCAAACTGATATATTGACAGTTCAACTAGTTAACGATCATGAAATAAGATCTTGAAACTACGTACAATATGAATCGCATATATATAATACTCGCCTGAGGATCGTTGAGAATAACTAATAATTGTTTACCAGATATACATTCATATGATTAGGATGCTCATCAATGATGTATCCAAGGGCAACGTGTCTCCCTTCACCTTGCAAACCAAGTACCCAAGAGGCAGACAATATCATATGCACAAATCTGCAACACATACAATCATTATATAAATTTAATATAAAAATTATTTTAATATTGGGCAATCCATAAGTATCGTACTTATGCATGGATCAATTGGGCTTCGAGTGTGATCTGGTGAAAACGTGTACAGTGTTCTCAAAACGTCTCCGACCCTACGGATAGTTGTTGAGGCATCAAAATCGTCAACAATTTTCAAATGGAAAAGGTCAATCACAGTCTTCTTGTGATGACATCGTACCACGCTCTCAATAATATAGACCAGTCCTAACTTCAAACTGTCTAACATCTAGCTGCACTCCCGATTGTAATCCATAAGTATCGTACTTATGCATGGATCAATTGGGCTTCGAGTGTGATCTGGTGAAAACGTGTACAGTGTTCTCAAAACGTCTCCGACCCTACGGATAGTTGTTGAGGCATCAAAATCGTCAACAATTTTCAAATGGAAAAGGTCAATCACAGTCTTCTTGTGATGACATCGTACCACGCTCTCAATAATATAGACCAGTCCTAACTTCAAACTGTCTAACATCTAGCTGCACTCCCGATTGTGCCAATCAACTGCGGTAGAAGCGTCGTTCGCTGTCCCTAAAAATGTGCATCATATGTCTATTGCTTCTATGAATACCGTCATGAGCTGCACCACCTGTAACCTTCAGTTCAATCATCAGGGTCGAAATGGAAGGCAACTCCGTCGACTGGCCTAAGCAGCCGACATAGTAGTGCATCAATGATCTACTCGAAATACTGCACCTCTCTCAACTGATACGGAGACTAGAGAAAGGATTGACATAGAATATTCGCGTGTAGATCATCCAACAACTCCAATACAGCAGTGAAACTATCAAAGTTATTGTTCCAAATTGCTTTCCCCACCATTCGTCTCAATTCCACATTTAGATGGTATTTCATCCTGTAAAAATTCAATTATTAGAACATTAAACAAAAGATAATAAAATAAAGTATGATCTCAAAAAATTAAGTGAATCGAATTGTAACTATTATACACAAGATATAGATTCATACCGATACTAATGAATAAATAAATAATTTAATAAATTAAAGAAGAAGAAGAACAAAAAAGAATTACAGAAAAAATAAAAAAAGTTATTATATAGTTTTTTAATTAAAATTAAAAATAAATATCATTTAATTAAAATTTGAAAAAAAATTACGTTTTATAATAAAAAGAAAAGAATTAAAAAGAATTTCAAATGGAACAAAAAATTATTTATAATATGAATTGAACAAAAAAAAAAGAAATTTAAAAATTGTTTCAGAAAAAATTTATAATAAAAGCAAAACAAATTAAACAAAAGAAAATTATGAAAATTAAAAAAAGAATAAAAATATTATTTAATTAAAATTGAAAAGACTAAATTTTATCATCAAAAGAAAAGAATTTAAATCGAAAAAAATTATTTATAATATGAATAAAATAATTAAGAAATTTTAAAACTATTTTCAAATAATTATAATAAAAATTAAACAAATTAAACAAAAGAAAAAACAAATGTGAAATAGAAGAAAAAATGAAAAAAAAAATAAAAAATGAGCTGACTGTAAAACATTCGATTTTGGTCGTTTGTGCTTTGCTGGAAATGGTGATTTCACATAAATCTCTTGCCATTTCCGGCAACATAAACCTTTTTATTTTCTTTTTATCACAATTCATTCTAAACTCAATAATTTACCTAAGTAATGAAGAATAAACATCATTGATATCAATTTAGGCCCTGTTTGGGCCACGTTATTTGAAAAAAAATATATATATTTTTCAATAGTGATTTAATATTATTTTAATCAAACATTTTTTAATAAAATAATATTACGCACAATTTCAAAATTTTTCTTTATCTTTAAACCACAAATTTATTATAAATACACTTCTCAAAAATACATTTTCATTCCAATAATGTAGCTCAAACAAGGGCTTAATACACAAATTCACAAAACATGCAAAATAAAAAATTAATTTCTTAATCCCATAAAAATACTAACATTGTTGAAGATAATGACCGAATTTTGCGGTTGTAGGTGTTTGATGGACCGTGACCCGAAGGACTGGAAATATGACGTGGGAATATGGGCGGGTAAAATGACCAATTTCATGTATTTCCTCGAATAAAAGTCAGAAATAAAGGTTCAATTTCCATTTCTTTGATTCATTTTCATTAATTTGATTCATAATGGAGGCGAAGGTTTCTCAGTTCTTCGAGTCCGTCACCAATTTCTTCAGCGGTGGCGACCACATCCCTTGGTCCACTCCTGACGTGATTCTCGTAAGGATCTCTGTTTTTTCGTTGTACCAAATTTGATGCGATAAGAATAGTGTCCAAGAAATAGAAATTTTTTTTTTTTTTCGTTTTGCCTTGATATGGGTTCAATACCTGGTCTAAAAATCGAAAATTCTTGAGTAAGTTGATATTTAATTTAAAGGCTTTTGGAGTTTAATATTTTCAGCTTTGATGGGTTTAAAGTAGTAAAGGTAGATTTGGTTGAATGAGATTGATAATTGGTTAATTCAGATATTACAGTTCCGTTAATTTTTAAATGGTGTTGAGGTTTGAGTTCTGTAGAATTTGAGTTGTCTTCAAGCACTGCATAAGTTTGTTAACGCCATGCAAATCTTTGATGGTGAAAAGGTTCCAATTTGAGGATCTAGACCTGAGGTGATCCTTTTTATTTAGTGTGGCAGAGATTGAGATGGTATTTAAAGGTGTTGGCAGTGCTTTTTGGAAGGTATTTTGAGGGTTTGTATGAATCTTGTCAAGTTCTTGGATGATTTTTGAGGATTGGGTGTAGCTAAACTCCAAAGGGCTTGTGGAGTGGATGATTTGAGCTGACAACAACAGACTGAGTCATATTTATTGGGGCAAAAATTGAGATTTTCAGGGAAGAATGAAAGTGGACTTGTGATGATTGCCATTGTCATCCACATGCATACAAGTGTGAAAGGAACAAATCATAATTTCTACAGTCGATGCATTCAATGAATAAAAGTCATAATTTATGTGGCCATTGGTTACAAATTTTTTGTGGGAATCGCCCCCCTTTTTTCACCTTCTTTTGAAATGGTGGTGTTAGTTTTGAGGTATTATTTCATGATGAATGCCAACCTAGACTTCTTAAATGCTGACATGGTGTTTTTCATTCTTGAATGTATACTTGGAAGTTCTTTGATCTTGCACGTTGCACCAACAAGAGTGTCCTTCGGACATGACATCCAGAGCTGCAGGCCAGTAGTAGTTTATCAGATAGTATTCATATAGGTTTATGAGCTAAGGTAACTGTGAATAGAATATGTTAAGCACTAATTCTGTCTTCACAGCTGATAACTTAATTAGTTAATTATATTTATAAGATAATACTTCTGTACTTGCGAGATTTGGAGGTCAATGCTCATTCTTTTGCTGAATGAAATTTCTTGATATCTTAAAAAAATACTCTCAATTGCCAGAGCTACTTAGTTGGAATGTATTCTAAAGATTAATTAGATGATATGATGGCCTCTGGATATTAGATTAAATCTAATTTACCGATGTAAGGACCCAAATCAACGGGGTAACACCCATATCTTAACAACATAATCTGTAAAACAAACCTGGGATCACTACTAAAGGTCCAGAACGTCCAGGTGAAGGTTTCTTCTCCTCAAAGTAGTCCAAAGCTATTGCATTCTAACATTGATTCGGGAGTGTTGTATATTTGACAACTCTCGAAACCCGATAAAGGTTTGGCATATTATTCAGGTTATTCTTGATCTGCCAATTGAACCTTTCATAATGTGACGTGTGTTAGATTCTCCCTCTCTTTAACGTATATTGTTGGCAGGGCTGTGAGAGAGAAGTTGCAGAAGCTTCAAAAGATAATTCTGATGAAAGGAAGAGTGAAAGCATTATGCGCTTATCGTGGGCTCTTGTTCATTCTAAACTACCAGAAGATGTGCAACGGGGAATGGCCATGCTTGAAGGTGAAAACTAGATCGATCAAATTCATGCTTTAAAACATACTTTTCTATAAAAATTTGTATTAGGATTTTTTCAAATTCAAAATTTAATGATGAAACCAGTCCTTGAAAGATTTTTCATAGCTTCAAAAATCACATCATCCATCTTCTTGCTGGCAGATGATAATTTTTCTCAGACACCACCATTGATTAATCCATGTATTAAGAGCCACTTCATGAATCTATAAGATCACCAGTTTTTCTTTTATAATTCTTGAAATTGTTCTTCTTGAGATGTAATTTTCTTTTGTTGCCTTATCTTGAAGGATTTATTTTGTAAATTGTTAATATTTGGCTTTTAGCATCCAGTTTAAGAGTATATCAAAGAATTAACCAGAAAACATTCCATTTGCCGACAGCTTCACTAGCCAACGACAATAGTCCATTGCAAAAGAGAGAGAAGCTCTACCTGCTTGCTGTTGGATATTACAGAAGCGGTGAATATTCAAGGTGCCGGGAGCTCCTTGACCAATGTTTGGAGGTTTGTATCCACTTTTCATTTTTTTATGCTGCCGTTGCTCTTTGTAAATTCTTCTTTTCATTACTTTTATCACCAGTAAACTACTTGTATATAGAGATTGTACACTACATTGTATTTGTTCTTTTCGAAATTTTGTGCTTAAATAATTGTCGTTGGGTCTGTTTTGTAGATTGGGCAAATTGAGGACATCTTTGGCACTTTCTTTTGAGATATTTTGTACTAGAAATGATCTCCGGCCCACTGCGGGCATGAGTTATAATGCCCATCTGCTGATATAGTGGTGTCATGTCAAAAATTCAAAACCTTTTTTTCTTTTGAAAAGTCGTAAAAATACGGTTTGATTGCTGATGTGGCGACACCACGTTAGCAGTGACAATTGTTATCCTGTTCACTGTAGCAGGAGATCAGCTCTGTACCCTTTAATATGATTTTTTTGCCAATTTTTTCTCAAATAATTCCCAGTTTCTTGTATGTATAGATTGCACCTGATTGGAGACAAGCCATGACCCTGAAGAAGACAGTTGAAGATCGAATAACTAAAGGTAATAACAACCCGAATTGTTGTTCAAAGCTTCTGTATTTTTCGACCCTGGTAGAACTGATCAACCCTGCTTAATATGGTACAGATGGTGTAATTGGAATCGGCATTACAGCAACTGCAGTCGGACTTATAGCAGGCGGTATAGCAGCAGCTTTGGCTCGAAAGAACTGATCATCTTAATGTCGTCTTTATTGATGATGAGCACGATATTTGTCCTGCCTCTGGTTTTGAGGTAGAAGGGTTGCCCTGCTGCTGCATGTTAATAAACTTTTCTATGTTTTCCAGTGATTGAATTATTTTGACTTGTTCAGTTGAAAGATCGATCTTACAGAAATAATAAAATCATCGTTAATGTTTGGAATTGTTTATACAGTTTGTCATGTCAATTCATGTAGAAAAAAGAGTTGTCAAACATGAATTTATTTTCAACCACACATTCATATAATAAAATATTCTGTATGTTAACTCAAAATTTTTCCATATTTTTTAACCACACATTCTTCAAAAAAAATCGCTACTCAAAAAATTATTTTTTCTAAATAATAGCCATCAAACAAAAGACCCAAAGGTTGTTTCTTCTCTGGTGATTATCACCATTACTACCTCAATAGAGTCCAATCAACAGTATATTACCAGTTTTGGAATACTTAACACAATATTTAAACAAGAAAATGAAGAGCAGAAGACCGGAGGGTGTCACTAGATCAATTGTTCGAATCAAGAGCAGATTGCAAAACAACTTCAAGGTACTTCTCAGCAGCAGCATACTGCCTTTTCTTGTCCTCAATTGCCAATGCAGCCAAAGCTTTGTCCTGTAAAAAATAAGACCCAAAATCAATTTTCCTCTCAACGAGAAGTAAAAAGGAGTAAAAAATGGCAGATTGTTAGCAAGAAAAGGACACTACAGGAGGCAAATCTTGGTAGCTTCTAAGGGTGTCGAGAATCGGTTTTGTTTTCTTTTCCAGATCCTTCCTATGCTCTGCCATTTCTACCAAAACTCCGTGACTTATCTCAGGGCTGTATCCCACGCGATAGAGCATGGCCTGTGTCCACCAGTTGTAACAATTAGTACACAAAAGAATTACAACAGTGCGATATGCAAAACTAAATCTATTTGATTTGTTGAGTTAGATACTGTTGAAAATATATTATCAGATCTTTTACTCATCATATAATTTTTCAAACTTCTCTTCCCAGTGAACACATTAAACCGAAATGGAAGAAATTAGAATTCTGATAGCTGACAAGAAGAAGCTCACAAGAATGTACCTTATAATTAGAGTACTGTTGCAGATATTGTCTTTCTTTTGAATCCATGATGGCCAAGTTGGTTTTCCAGTGCTCCATTTGAGCTTCACAAGGAGGTACATCATCTTCCAATTGTGCCAGTGTTCTGCCAAGAAGTATAAATAATTAATAAGAGGTAAAGTAGAAATTTGGAAGCCAAATCAAGAAGTTAGCATCCACCCAACAAATACAATATATCTTAGCCATAATGGAGAAGCTAAATTCATTTATAGAAAAAGATAAATCGTGAATTTCACCGTTTCAAATAGGTCAGTCTTGCTATTGCCTTTCGAGTATAATCGAGAAGTTCTTTGGACTCCTTTTGCACTTTAGCCCTCTTCTCTTCTACTGCAGTTTTTCTCAGAGACAAATCCGCCATTGCTACAAGAAAACTAGAACATTTTTTTCCCCTAAGCCAGTAGAAACCTAAATAATTGTAGTCTAAAACACAAGGACAAAACTCACCTGCTTAGCTCAGTATCTCTAATATTCAACAGATTTGCCGCATTGGCAAGAACTTGTGCAGATGAGACCACATTTGATGGTAAACTATCTTGCACCAACCCCACATGCTCCAATATCTCTCTTATCCTTGCAGCTATTAATGACAAAATATTGTGAACACCCCCATACAAAATCCAAATGAGTTTATGATAAACAACAGTTTTGGCTTACAAGATCAAATTGCCAACATGAGAATGAAAACAACTTAATGCAAATGAAACCATACGAGAAAAACAATAATCAATACGATTATTTTTTAATATTAGAGTAGAGAAGATGGTAGGACCTTGGGAGCGATACTCTGTGGCTTTTTGACGAAAGTCATTTGCGACTATGGTGGCAGCCTGGGTTTTGGCTTGGGAGAGAGCGACAATCTTGTGTAAATGAGCAATGCTCCGTGGGGTGTACTCGAAATCGGGTAGGTCTTTCCCAGCTGCGTCAAATTGGGAAATGAGCCATGCTTTCACTTCTGCAATTCGACTGGCATCAAAACCAGCATTACCACTGGTCTTTATTGATTCCAAGGATGTTATTGAAGATGTAGAAGGACGATCAGTTCCCTCCACAATTTCACTCATTCTTTTGCACTTTTTTTCTGACTTTTCAAACTTCAAGTTAGACCTTCACCCCCTAAATCACAATAAATATAAAAATATGAAAAAATTATAAACAAAAGAATTCAAAATGGTAAGCTCTTGTATCAATAAACTATAGAATCAAAAAGCAACAGAATTCGGTTGAATAAACTATGTAAATAATCTGTCAATTACAGTAAATGTGAAACATAATCTTTCAATTATTCGGAGAAGGAAGGATAAAATAAGAAATTGCATTCCACCTAGTAAAAATGGAGATGGTTAAAATGAGTCTGAAGTTGAAGTGAAAATGGTTTAGTAATAAATGACCGAAATTCGTTTAAACATATCTTTTAATCAGCAAAGAGAACTATCTACAGTTAATAAATTCGGAAAAAGACAGATAACATAAAATTTCAATTTTGATCGCTCAACTCAATTAGGTCACATTTCATTGTTCAATTTAATAGTAAAGGTAAAACGTAAAGGAAAGCTAAACTGGTTTTACCTGAGGTGGATACAAAGGACGATTATAATGTGCGTGTCGGAACCGGCGAGAAGGGCATCGCAGATAGTTGCGCCGCTCTGTATCTAGTCGATCGCGGCCGCCGGAATTGTGATGGTGTTGATTATTTGCGAGGCGGTGGTGGCGGCGATAGTTCCGATCGAGAGGGGTTGGGAAATCAAAAATTGTTTAGATCTGTTTCTGAAATTTTCTACGGAGTTTTTGGCTCTTGAGATTCAAAAATTTCACTCGATGACGGGAAGGAATTAGTAGGCTTTATCTTTCTTTCCTTTTTTCTTTTCTTTTTTTTTTTTATGAGAAAATCTTTCGATCGGTTGTGAAATAAAATTTTTAAAAGATATTGATAAAATTGGAAATCTTCACTCAATGGGTCAATGCTTTTCGACGGCTTTTGTTTATTTTATTTTGCAGTGAATCACACCATAATTTTTTATAAATACTAGTGAGTGAATATGCATTGCACGTTAATTGTTTAATATTTAAAATAAACGTATGTAAATTTTAGGAAAAAAAATTATAAATTTAAAAGGTATTTATAAATTCATTGAAATTGACTAATTTTTCATCAATTTTCTCGGTATATTTTTTATTTTTCATATGAACATTTGAGAATTTGCATATATTCGTACCAAGCATTTCCCTTCACAAAAGTTTGTGGGAAATTTTTTTTACGCGAAATATATTTCTCTATATATATTAGTTTAACCTAAAATATGATTTAGCACACTCAAACTTTGTCCCTAATCCGTACTATGATTATAATAATGAAATATCACCAAGATATGTAAAATAACAATATCTACACTATTGTATTAAAAATAATTTTTCATGTTGACAGGCAATATGCAGAACCATAAATTATGGTTTAAAATATTAAATGCAATTTAATGTATTAACTTTCTTCTAAAACCCTGATTTTGTAAGATTGCAAAAACGTAATTAGAACAATAGAAAATAATGTACATATCCATAGGGGGGGACGGGGGGGACTTCTTAAAACTTTAATTAAAAAGAATTTTAAATCAAACAAAAAATTATTTATAATTCGAAGAAAAAAAATTTAAACAATTTTTGAAAAATATAATCAAAACAAAAGAAAGTTACGAAAATTAAATAAAGAATATAATAATATTATTTAATTAAAATTAAAAATATATATATATTTTATCATAAATAGAAAAGAATTTCAATTTTTTTCATTGTGGGAGCAAAAACGACGTCGTATTGTCTTCAATCATTTCTCCATTTTTACACGGCAGTTCACTACAACCATCACCTTCAATGCAATATTTCTCTATTTTCACACACCACTTCACTTCATCCAATCCAATACTAATAAACAAAAGAAACTAAATGATTTAACAAGTTAAAGAACAAAAAAAGAATTGCAGTCAAAATAGAAAAAACAAAAAACAAAGATTATTATAAAGTTCTTTAATTAAAAAATTGAAATAATTAAAATTAAAAATAAATATTATTTTTTAATTAAAATTGAAAAATTTACATTTTATCATAAAACAAAAATAATTAAAAGAATTTTAAATCGAAAAAATATTTATAATATGAAGAAAAAAGAAATTTTAAAACAATTTTCAAAAAATATATAATAAAAACAAAACATATTAAATAAAGAAAGTTACAAAAATTAAATAAAGAATAT